TGTAGCGTCATTGAATTGAGGGAAAATAAATCCCTGACTGCTGCTACGGATGAAGAATGTGATTCTTCGATATTTGTTGAAGTTTAATTGTTGGGAGATGGATTTCCCTGACTATAGAAGTAAACTCTATTGGGGAAAGAAAAGCTCTGTAAACTACTTGGGGATTTTTTATGAAGCCCTGTTAGGAAACCCAAAAAGTTTGTGAACCAGGCTAGGGAATTCATTAAGATGTCGGGGAAATAATTGGAGATTCTTGCTCTACCGGGGATATCAAAAACTTTGACATCATTAGGCTGTATACTGAGCATATGGTAGTGAATTTATAGTAGGATGTCTCCTCCTCTATACCTGCTGGAGAAAGTATCTGCGAGGATTATCAGATGGCCTTTTTAGACACCATCCCGTATCTGAAAGCCATTAGTAACTGTCTTTCTATTTTTTATGTGTGTATTTGTAAACGGTAATCACATTCAAATGCATATGTTCAAAAATAATTACTGGATGTTTTTGCAAACAAAACAGAAAAACAAAAACAAATAGTTTTGCACTTTCAAAGAGATAGTTTTGTATTAATCTGAAGAATTCTGCCTATAACAAGTGTTTTTCTACAAAGAGACAGACATTCTTGTAAGAGAATGCCGTCGTAAGAACGAAAACTATACAAAAATAGTATACAAAGAAAAACAGCTATGTGAAACGACCCCATTGGGTTCCTATTCTTCTATTGCCTTTATATCTTTGAGCTTCTCATCACTTTGCTACTTGTCCGAAGCTGACTGAATTGATTAGTACCTTTTGAATTTGACACTTGTTACCGAATTTTGTCTGTAAGGTGATCCGACGGGACATAGTTATACGCTTTTAATCCCTAACTTTTGCCTGGACCACCCTTTCAGGTTTTCAGTCCACCGGGATACCCTTTTTTGCCCAAGCCGCCTTTTCAGGTTTTCGACTTGCCGGTTGTACCGATTTTTCATATATATATATATATCCCTAACTTTTTCCCGAACCCTTTTGGTTCTCTATGAGGCCCTTATTTTTTCCTAGGCTAGTCAACCTAGTGGGTCTTTGTTCATGCATAGTATCTTTTAACTATGTCTGCGTTTACAGGGTGCGAGAGGTCGTCACCGTCCATAGTGGTTAAGATTATGGCTCCACTAGAAAATATGTTCTTGATCACAAATGACCCTTCATATGTGGTAGTCCATTTTCCCTTGGGATCACCTTGTGGTAGGATAATGCGCTTGATTACTAGGTTACCAACCTGATATACCTGACGTCTGACCTTCTTGTTAAAATCTTTGATCATATGTTTTTGGTACATCTGACCATGACAGACAGCCGCAAGCCTCTTATCGTCAATCAGGTTCAACTAGTCAAGTCGAGTTTGGACCCATTCGTCTTCATTCAAACCTACATCCTTCATGATTCTCAAGGAAGGGATCTGGACTTTGATGGGTAGGACAACTTCCATACCATATACCAGAGAGAAAGGAGTTACCCCTGTTGACGTACGTGCTGAGGTACGATAACCATGGAGAGAAAATGGTAACATCTCATGCCAATCTTTGTATGTCACTGTCATCTTCTATATGATCTTCTTGATGATTTTATTAGCAGCCTCTACAACGCCATTCATTTTCAGCTGGTAAGGAGAAGAGTTATGATGTTGAATCTTGAATTGTATGCAGAGCTCGGTGATCATAGTATTATTGAGCTTGGTACCATTATCCGTAATGATTCTTTCTAGAATACCATACCGACAGATAAGGTTATGTTTGATGAATCGGGCCACAACATTCTTGGTAACTGTTGTGCCGACAGAAGGAGGTCAGTGCTGCTTATGGCCAAAGAAATCACAACAAAATTGAACGTCGTCCGATGCTAGGGGCTGTTATGATTTCCAATCCTGCATCAAACCAGCAACAAAACAATCAGCGCATGCCAGATGCACCCAGAAGACAATTTACCCGGATTAACATGACCTTATCCCAAGTTTTGCCACATTTGCTAAAGTCCAATCTGGTGACTCTAAAAGAAGCTCCTAAGAATCCCAATACTGCATCTCCCCGCTACAACCCAAATGCTCGATGTGCCTACCATTTCGAAACTCCGGGGCATGATACAAACGATTGTTGGGCTTTAAAGAATAAGGTACAAGATCTCAATGAGGCGAAGGAGATTGAGTTTGACCTTCCAGAGACACGTAATGTAATAATTGCACCAATGCCCAAACATGGCCAAGGTGTCAATGTTGTTGATGACGATCGGTTTGTTTCCTCTGTGGATGAGTTAGCTACTCCTCTTCTAACTATTAAAGAGAATCTGTTGTGAGCCAGTTTATTTTCGGGATGCGGTGAAGGTTGCCACTTATGTATGTCTCTACCAGATGGTTGCTTGTTGTTGAAAATGGGTGTCTAGCAACTGATTATTAACAAAGAAATTATGTTTGAGAAAGTTCCCCTTACAAGAAGTTTGTATGAAGATGTCTCGATAATTACCATTTCCGACAATCCTCCCAGAGTCTCACCAAAAGACCCATCAGGATTACATCTGTTCCCAAGTTTTCTCCCTTGATCATCACCCTTCCTAGGCCAATACCATATTCCTTGGATAAGGCTGTTCCTTGGAGTTATGGGGCTGACGTTTATTACTATAGCTTCAAGCAAGACCTATTGGGTGTTGAAGATAAAGCCGCTGAAGATACTGATCCTGACATCTACAACATCACCGGGACCAATAAAATTACGAGAAATGGAATAGTTTTCTCTTCCGAGTATAGTGGTAAAATCAATGAATTCGCCATCGAGTATTTATCCCATAAAAGGGAAAGGAAAATCATCGAAGAAAAACCTAAAGGGGAAATCAAGGTCTTACGACCAAGAGATTGGGCAAGAGAGTCGATTACCCCACACGTCCATAGTACTCTATAGGATCCACTCTCGTTATTCTAATCAAAGAGTGTGTTCAATATAATGCTTAAAAGTTATAAACTAAGAGGGAATGCATGCAAAGAAAACACGGGGAAAAGAAGGAAATATTTACAAATTTTCACTGAGATGAGCCCCGTGACCAGATGCCTACGTATCCCTTTTTAGGAATCAGAGCACCGTAGTTCGGCTCACATATTTTGGTTGTTTGTATTTTTTAAATGAACAATGTTGCATTTGATCATTCCACCGCTGCTCGACCTTTGGAGACTTATGACCTATAGTGGAAAGGAACTAACAATTCTCTTAGAAGAGAAAAGCCGAATGGAGAAAATAAATGGATTTGTTGGTATTTTTTTTACCATGAATTTTTTTTATAGGCTTAGCATTTTTTACACATTTGCCAAGAAAAAGAAGTCTTAGTTTTAAATGCAATTATGTAAAAATGGGAAGAAAAACATCTAAGGGAGACTAACCTATCTCTAACGTAATGTTATCATATGATGAGGGATCCTATCTAAGTTAGCATGCCAAATAAAGTCTAACAAACTATCCTATAGGGAACATACAATGAGAGCGAAGTCGTGATCTCAATTTCTAAATTGAGTGACTCATTGATCAACAAGAAATAAAGGAAAGCGATAAAATCCTATAGGGAGCATGCACTGAGAGAGAAGTCGTGATCTCAATTTCTAAATTGAGTGATTCATCGATCAACAAAAAAAGAAAACAAACACAAGCACAACACATATAATAAATGAAGTGCGGAATGCCTGCTACAGGTCTTTAAACAGAGACTTCGAGCGCACGCTCTTTATTTCCTACTTCTCATGATATCTAGAAAGCGATAAATGCGGAAATATAACTTGAAAGTAGTATAATACCAAACAAACAATAATGTCCGCAAAAAGTACAACCAAAGCCAGGAAACCCGAAATACTTCACGCTAGCTGACATCAACAAGCAAACAGTCAAAAATTGAATGATCGTAAATAGTATTGGAGCATCATCGATGTGAAAATAAATCACAATCGGAAAATCTAACATGTCCGCGTATCAAACAATGAACCTGCATAAGACTCAACTCAACAAGCAGAAGTGAAACACAAGTTTCGAGTAGTCAAAAAATTAGAAATTAATTTCCTAAAAATTAAATGAGAAATATAACAAATTTTATTGATTTTTTGTAGTTTACTTCCTAAATATTATAAGAGGCGTTCCTAAAACATATAATTTTTATTGTTTTATTATAAATTCTTTTATTGTTTTTTATCATGTATTCTATCACTATTTTTATCAAAAGAAGAAAATTAAATTAAAAAAAAAACAAAATCTAAAACTAAAGAAATTAGAAAGATAGGGGGGAGGCTAAACTGGATTCATGGGGTCTGTTGTAGCAAGAGTGCTAGACCCATTAGATGAAGTCCAATGATAGATTTTTTATTTCTTCCAAAGTTTCAAAAAAAATGGCCATGAGCTCCCTTGAAATATGACTCGGTCCACCAAGATATCACACCTACATCTATAATCCACTCAAATATTGGGTAATTATTGAGTTAAAAATTAAACAATAATGAATTAGACAATATGATGTTTTTAGAAAGGGATTAGGGTTAAGAAATGGAATAACGATTGAAATTCCGTGAACAACATATTTCCCCCTTCCTTTTCTCACTTGCAAACAGCGACGACGACTTTCATCCTTCTTCGATCAACGAAACTTGCTGTCGTATACTTCAATTGGCTTCTCCATTGTAGAGCCACTCATCGTCTCTCTCTCTCTCTCTCTCTCACGGTGGTGTCAAATTTCCATCAAATTCAAACGGCTGTGAAGCTTCGATGAAACACGATTCAGAGACTCAGGCTATTCTTCAATCTTGAAAAAAACACAGAGGAATCTGAAAAAAAAGCGGTTAAGTTATGCATACTTTTCGTTCTTGATTATGCTTCCTCTCTTTTCTTCCGATTTCATGTGTTCTGAATCATTGTTGATGTTCGTAATTTTTGCATATAGTTCTGTAATGCAAGTGATGCAGAGAGATGATATGAAGTGTGTGGATGAAAGAGAGAATGAAGGTTGAAGATGAAAGGGAGAATCAAGTTTTTAGCGCTTGCAATAGAGATGAAGATGAAGCCAGAATTGTAGAGAATCAGAGAGGGCTTAGAGGTTGTAATTCAGGAAGATGAAGATTCGTTGAAGAGAGACCGATGAGAGAGGATTGAATTCTTTAATTTTTATCGGTGGTGATTTTCCTGAGTTCTCAATAATGGTGAAGACATTGTGTGAAGGATGTCAAGAATGATGAAGGTGATGAAGCTGCAAAAACTGATGTTTACATTGATGCATTAAAGGTGTATCGTGAGGAAGATTGAAGATGGATGAAGATGATCGTCATTTGTAGATTCTAATACGATTTGCAGAAGATTAATCGAGGAAGATGAAGATTGAAGACCTTGAAGAATCAATGCAAATGTTGAAGTAAGTAGAGATTTCAGAGAGAATGTAAAGAGATGAGAGAATCTCAGAGGTGAGTTCTTGATAGTTTTTTTCGATTTTCCGTTACGAATCCTCCCTTTTAGAAGTCTGTTACAAATCTGTTAGCACCTCCTTTCCCAATGTGTTATCAATCTGTTACATAGGTTCATGTCAGAAACCATAGCTGTTAGATTTCTGAGAGTTTGTTATGGAATGGAGGGAAGAGATTAGGTGGATGGGAAATTTCTTAGGAGTCTGTTCTTGTTAGTTATTGGTTTTTTTTTAATTTCTGTTAGGCTTCAGTTAGGAAGTTAGTTGGAAGACGGTTAGGGGTAGTTGTTAGAATTCCGTTATTTGAGTTAGTTAGGAAGGTCTAAATCCCGCTTAGTTATTTATGGATCTGTTATTCAGTTACCATTTCCTGAATTAACAATTTCTTCTTTCAGACTTAATTTTTTTTATTCTGCTATGAAGTTGTTGGAGCATCAACAGGAACCAAATTCTGCAATAGCTTGGAAGGAGCGTCAACAGGAAGCGAGTTATTCAATGCTTTGCAAACTCCGGAAGCAAAATTTGCATTGAGTCGACTCGGGGCCTTGGTTTTTGTTAAAATATCTTTAGAAGATGCAAATGGTCTTCTGGTTTTAATATGGTTGCAGGGCTGCATAGGGTATAAAAAGTTGAAGCATGGCTGATTCTGTCCTTGATTTTTCTGATTATTTTTCTCTATTTATGGACTGTCCTCAATTCTTGTTTTCTCATTTTCTCATTTTCAGATTTTTGTTTTAACTTCTCCTTTGAAATGATTCTTGCAGCCTGTTTTTCATATGTGAATGCAGACTCATGTTCGGTTTAGCAATTAGGACAGCTGAACTGATTCTTTCTCTTCGGTTTTCTATTCAGAACTTTTACTTGTGATTTAATATCCTGCTCTGATTTTTGTTGAAGTTTGGTTTATGTTTGAAATTTTGATTCATGGACTGTTTTATTTGTAAAGTGTAGGGTTGTGCAAATCTGAGCAGCAGATTGGTATCGGGGCAGTTAATAGCATGCCATTGGACTTGTCTTAAAGGTGCAGTTGCTTATGCATTGTTATGGTTGGTCTTTGGAAGCAGGAAGTAGATTTAAGGGTCATGGAATTGATACTTTGGATAGAACATGTATGAAACCTGACTAGTATTGAGTGAACTTTGGAATGTATTTGAATATATCTCAATGAATCAAAATTGATTGGAACTTTTCATGTAAATGAATGGAAACAAAATCATGAACACGATTAGATGGGACTTGAAGAAAGTAATGTTGATAAATTTTGACTTTATGTCCATTTTAAACCAATACTTATGTGCAACTCAAGCGTTCATAAAAGATTGAGTCTCAATTGAATTCAAATCCCATGCTTGACCCTCGATGAAACTTTAACTCAACGTTTGAACCTTAAGGTCCAATTGACTTGTATTTTAAGCAACAAACTTGATAAGCCCATACTCCTTGCCTTTGATATATTCAAACCCCCTTTTTTGCGACGTTCTCAAGATTTTAACCCCTTGACATCATAAGCATTTATGAAAAAAATGGCTACTCTTTGCAATATGGAATCCATAACATTTTAATGGACCTTGGTCAAAAGTCTTGTCTTGATGATAATGGATGAATGAACCTTGATTCTTAAATGATGCATGAACGAATCTCAAAACATCCCTTGAATCACATTTTAATTCTCAATTCAGATCCAAACCAACTTGTATGACAAGTAACAAACAATGGATACAATGACAAAGGCCTTTGTAATTTGAATTCTCGATGGTCCACTTGACTAGATTTTGAATTCAGATTATACTTTGAATTTATTACTTGAAAATTATATTCACACCAAACCATATGCATGAATTCTATTGAACCAATCTTGAGAGAAACATTTCACAATAATGAATCCATTCTCTACTTCACTCTTCAAATTCAAATCTTGCAAACAATCAAGAAGTTGAAGAGATGACAAAGCCTTGATTACAAAGAATCTCCAAAATCCTACCACGCTGTATTACTCGCTCTTTAGTCAACAAAATATTATGCTGAAAACCCAAAGCCACACTTAATCACTTGACAAGTCTCACCACAAGAAAGAAGTCCTTTATTAATTTCTCTAACTTCCTTGCGTGCACATTAATGAAGAAGACTTGAGATAGCGCAGGGAACAAAACTCTGACTTCAGAACTTTATATCTCGAAGAATTTTTCCAGTGAAAATGTTTATGATGTTTGCGATCCAAAACCCTAGTTCCACGATAATGATGAGAGCACTAGCTGAACCAACTTGAGAAAGGTATCAATCTGAATCCATAGAAAAAAACCTAATGACAAAAGCTCTTTGATCCTGTAACCATGGGACCAATGCTATGTATGAGATGTACAAAGCATGATGAGGGATCTTAGGGGGGAAAATTGGGATATAACAGCTGCCCTTATTTAAGTGTCTTCTATCCGGAGATACGAAGATTAAAATTTGCATTTTGACGCGATTGAAGATACTTAAATACAAAACAAGCCCTACTTTTGGCCCTAAGATGCCATGCAATGCTTATGATTATGGATGTAACATATAAACTTCATGCAGATGGGCAAGACACACACTGGAGAAGCAAAATTAATAGCAACAAATTAACAAAGAGAATTCAACCAGGAAAATAAATCTCGGGAGAACAACACGACTCCGGGGATAGAAATTTGAATCTATTAGAGATAAATCGGTGCCGCTGGGGAATAGAAGATTTGACTTTATTGGAGAAAGATTTAGAGAAGAGACCAAAATAACATCAACTCAAAAAAGTGAGGATAACATCGGTTAATCGAGAACTATGAACTATCTACTCATAGAAGAGATAGCAAAAAGGGAGTAACATCAACGCAGAGGATCGACAACTTCTAAACAGAAGAGTACGAACAGAAATGGTAAGATAATACCGACTAAGGGATGACAACAAACACCAATGCCTAGATTAGTAAGTAAATGCTTGGTATTAGTACTTATGACTGGTAACAACTGCTTGACGTCGGCACTTATGGCTGGAAACAACTTAACTAAATCAGAGTAAAGTCCAATGAGGAGAAAGAGATGAACCTCGAATAAGAATGACAATGAACTACCAACTCAAAGATAAAGGTAAATAAACATAGAATCAACACCAAACCTTTTTTTTAAAGGTAAAGAAATAGAAGATACACTGACGTTTACTGAAGGTGGGCTACAAACTTTCCTTGGAGGGAGAGATACAAAATATGCACCGACTTTTACTGAAGGTGAGCTACTGAATTTGCAATGATTTCACAACAAACTTCTCTTGCGAAACTTCTTCGAAGAGATACTATTTGACGGAGAATCAAATAAACTTCCACTCAATCCTGACTATAAGCCACAGACTGGTCTCAGTTTCTTCTTTAACCAAGATATTTCACCTGGAAAGGGTAAAAATACAAGCTATCTCAAATAAAGAGACTACCACTTGTAAAGATTTATCAACAAACTTCTCTTGCGAAACTTTCTCGGAGAGATACCATTTGGTGGAGAATTAGATAAACTTCGCCTCGATCCTGATCGTAAGCCGCGAATTGGTCTCAGTTTCTTCTTTAACCAAGATGTTTCACCTAGAAAGGTTAAAAATACAAGATATCTCAAATAAAGAGAGTACCACTTGTAAAGATTTCACAACAAACTTCTCTTGTGAAACTTCTTCGAAGAGATACCATTTGACATAGAATCAGATAAACTTCCCCTCGATCCTGACTATAAGCCACGAACTGATCTCAATTTCTTCCTTAACCAAGATATTTCACCTAGAAAGGGTAAAATTACAAGCTATCTCAAATAAAGAGACGAGCACTTGTAAAGATTTCTCAACAAAATTCTCTTGCGAAACTTCCTCGAAGAGATACCATTTGATGGAGAATTAGATAAACTTCCCCTCGATCCTAACCGTAAGCCACGAATTGGTCTCAGTTTCTTCTTTAACCAAGATGTTTCACCTAGAAAGGGTAAAAATACAAGCTATCTCAAATAAAGAGACTACCACTTGTAAATATTTCTCAATAAACTTCTCTTGCGAAACTTCCTCGAAGAGATACCATTTGATGGAGAATCAGATAAACTTCCCCTCGATCCTGACCGTAAGCTATGAATTGGTCTCAGTTACTTTTTTAACCAAGATGTTTCAGCTGGAAAGGATAAAAATACAAGCTATCTGAAATAAAGAGACTACCACTTGTAAAGATTTCTCAACAAACTTCTCTTGCGAAACTTTCTCGAAGAGATACAATTTGGTGGAGAATCAGATAAACTTCCCCTTGATCATGACTATAAGCCACGAACTGGTCTCAGTTTCTTCTTTAACCAAGGTATTTCACTTGGAAAGGGTAAAAATATTGCTGTAAGAATCTTTCAACGAAATGTCTTTATCATTGAAGTACAGCCAAACTCAACAACAAACTATCTCCCATAATGACGAGACTACCATTCATCGGAGTAACAAATTTTTATCAATGAACTATCTCCCATAATAACGAGACTACCATTCATTGGAATATAAATCTCAACAATGAACTACCTCCCATAATGACGAGGCTACCATTCATTAGAGTAACAACATCTTAGCAACGAACTACCTTCCATAATGACGAGGCTACCATTCATTGAAAAAAACATCTTCTCTGGCATTAATAGACTTATTGGGAAAGAACAGGTTGCTCAAATAAAGAGGTCTTCCGCCTGCTATTTAAGAAGGAATTATAACAAGACTGGCGAGAAATGAAGCTCAATTTCCTGGGGAAATACCAATACATTCCTGTTGAGGAGAAAAAAATTCTTTGCATGCAAAATAAATGCACATTCTCAAATCAAGGCTCAAAGCCTGCAGAAGTCAGAATAATAATATTGTCGGGGACTACAGATTCAAACCAGAAAAAAACTGGAATGGAATAATCAACCAAGACAGCACCTGATGAGAAATAAACTCAAAAGGGGACCATACTCCATCAAGATAATGAACCTAATAGGAAGGCTGAAGAAAAATTCTTCCACGAGGGATAACTCAGTGGGGAAATTGAAAGGATATACACTTTCTGTTTAAAGTTGACAACTCTATTGTAGAGAGAGTAACATAATTTTTGCAAAGAATATAATAAAACATCAACGAATGGAAATGAGTAATGAATTTTTATTTAGCTATGCATGATGTATGTATGACTGTATGAATGTATGAATGAATGTATGTATGAATGTTATCATATATATGCTGGCAAAACAGCCATAATGCACTGGGGATAACCAGACAAAGCTAACTTGGGTGGAGACAACACTCGGCCAAGTCACATCCAGGATAAAGGTTCCATAAGAGAATAAGCATCTACTGAGGAAACGAATTCCTATTTCACGGCTTAACTTCACTGGAAAGAACATGGCTTGAGAATAGACAAAACACCACCTGACTAGCAACAAATAAAGTTACGGGGATACAATAAACTCCTCTAGGTTTCACCGGGGAATATCAATACGGACTTTGATAGGGGAAGACAATGCTTCATCGTCTGGACTTCACCTGGAGATTCCAAAACTAACTTCACCAGGGAAGGTGAAAACCACAACGTCGAGACTTCAACTGGGGATGTCAATACAGACTTCACCGGGGAAGATGAAAAAAAACACA